CTGTAGCAGGTTACCGTATTACTGTTCATATCGTATTTCACCGTTCATAAACACGTTTTTATCTCAAATTTTTATACAACACACAATTGAATAATATTTGATTGTATTTTCTTAATATAAATTCAAATGTTCAGTACTTTTACAAGAGTAAAGGTTTTGAAAATGTCAATGTGACATCTCGGACTCGTATTCAAGTCGGGTACGGGTTGGGGTGTTACAGTATCCGTGTGGACGTGTCGAAGACACGTATGACCACGACCACGACCACGAACACGACCACGAACACGACCACGACCACGACCACAAGACGAGACGGACGGCGGCGGCGGCGCGCGAGAGTCCCCCTTGTTCTCTACACTAAACAAGAAAGTGGGAAAGCCAAGCCTTAAATACCATTCCCAATAGTGTTTCCAATACTATGTGGGATTTGAGCATTACCAACACTTGTTCCCAATACTATGTGGGATTGAGCCTTAAATAGTGATATTATTTTTTAATGTTTTGCTTAAAATTGCAATAATCGCGATTGATTGTAGATTGACTTTTAATTATGACATATTTAATCGTATAATACTAATGCAATTGGTTGCTGATTCAGTTGTTTTAAGGTGAATGATTGTTAATTGTTTCCTGAATAATCACATTGTATTGGAAACAAGTGTTGGTAATGCTCAATCCCACATAGTATTAGAAACACTATTGGGAATGGTATTTAAGGCTTGGCTTTCCCACTTCCTTGTTGAGTGATAGAGAACAAGGGGGACTCTCGCGCGCCGCCGCCACCGCCGTCTGTCTCGTCTCGTCTCGTCTTGGGTCGTGGTCGTGGTCGTGGTAATACGTGTCTTCGACACGTACGCGCGGATACTATCTTTTTAGAGAAAATTCTTAAGAAACAAAATCTTTTTTTTTAACTATCACAACGAATTTGGAAAATCGCAACGACAACTGTAGACTATCGCAACGAATTTGGAAAATCGCAACGACAGCTGTAGACTATCGCAACGCAATTTTCAACTATCGCAACGCGAAATGGAAAATCGCAACGCGAAATGGAAAAGCGCAACGCGAAATGAAAAATCGCAATGCGAAATGGAAAATCGCAACGCGATTTTCAACTATCGCAATGCGAATTTGCGATAGTGGAGATCGCAATGCGAATTAGAGATCGCATTGTGATTTTGTTGGTCATTTTCGCAAATCCAAAAAAAGTTGGTCAAAATCGTATATTATCTAGGACTTTTGGTCACTGAGGTTATTTTCTCTAATTTTTATTTTTATTGGCTGAAAGAGAAATGTGTGAATTATAACTGGGGCCTCCTAGTTATTTTATTAATTTTTATATTATTTTGATTAAAGAAATTATTAATTAATTATTAGTTTTATTTTTCTCGTATTTGAATGAAGTTTTTTATTTTTTAATATTAGTTTATGTAAATAATTAGTTTTTATATAATTTATATTTAAATAATTTATATTTAAAATAATTAGTGATTAAATAATTAGTATTTAAAAAAAATAAATTAATAATTATGGTGTGATAAACATTTCAAAAAATTATATTCTTCAAATATAAATATGATTTTCTACATTAGAATTATTGACATTCATATTTAGAATAAAAGCGAAAAATAAATCTCCCAACTCACGGATAACATATATGTGAACTGGTTTTATAGTACAATTGTTATCCGTTACGTGTAAGATACTTCATATTAGACGATCTTCAACAGGATCGTCACTGTCAACGATAGTTTGTTTAGTATTATTATGAATTAATGAGACATATTAATTCATTGATGTGTCTGATTTACACAATAATTAATAATAACCTTTGACGAATAATAATTTCGAGTGCGTCCAATCGACAATCCTATAGTTGAGTGAAATTGGTGAAAATCTAAGAAGTGCAATCAATAAATAGGATGTCAGTGACTGAAATTGTTGTGGTAGAAGAGCAGTCCCACTCAATACCGATGCACATGTTACATGTGTCTGATCTGATAGTACTGATGTGTAAAATCCTTGTATTAGACTCAATAGAACTGAAAATATTGCATCGATAGGGCACATGACAACAACTGTGGTGGCCTGATCGGAGAGGATGAAGACAAGTTAGAAGGGTTCCATCTCCTACTATTGCCTATTCCCGGATTAACTAAGGATCGATGATAATCCATCAGTGGACGTTTTTCCCTGGTTTATGAATTGTCTATACTTGTCGTGTCTTGGATAGTATATACCCCTTATTGTAACTCATAAACTCTGACATATTCTTCAAAAATCACAATATTGGGTCTTTGGATTAATTGTAAATCAGGTATTCTGTTGAGTTCCACATCGTTGACTTACATTCAATGACGAGACACCTTGAGGACCAGTGGGGGCCATGGTCCCCCACCCAAAAAAACTATTACTAGGATATATATATTTATATAAATATATATCTACATATATTAAATTATTAAATTTGTTTTCTTTGAATAATATTTATACTAATAAGTTATTAAATTTAGTTGCTCCAAAAAATATGTATATTATTTTATAATTTAGAAGCCACTTAAATATTATTTATTAAGAAGAGTTAATATTTATTTTTATATTATTATTTTGTTTTTAAATGAATGAAATCTATTTTCATTTGTTATTTTTTATTTCAAGATACAAAAAATTTCTTTGTATTTTTCATGTTTTGTTGTTCATATTCTTTGAGGTTTTTTTTTATCTTCTTTAAGTTGGGGCTTCAATCAAGTTATCACATATTTAATTTCAGTTGAAAGTAATTTTTTAAAATATTTTTAATTTAATTTATATTTATGATTTTATTTCAAACAACTATATTTATTATATGTGTTCATGAATTTTCATCTCTAGAAATAAAAGCATAGACACAAATATATATAATATTTTAAAATGTTTCTAAATATCTTAATTATATAAATATAATTTTAGAATTTATTGATTAAATTGTATATTATGTGAATTTATTATAAAATTAATTTCATATAGTTTTATGATTATATGTAAGTTGTGTGAAATTATAGACAAATATAAAAGACTAGATGAATTTTATTTCTTTAAAATTTTATGTGAACATATAAATTTTAGGGATTTATTAAATATTCTTTTATTAATATGATATTTAGATATATAATCTACATTGAAAAAAGTGCTAAAATATTTTAAATGGCCCCCTCAAAAAATAAATATTGAGTTCCGTCACTGTCTATATTGATTAAAAGAGAATTTATACACCTAAATAAGAAAAAGAATATAATTTAAATACCTTTTTTATATTAACCCTTTCATAAATTAAAAATGCTAAAATATTTTAATGTTATTGTGAGATATAATATAATTTTATGATTTTTTTAATTGTGTTAGTATTCGAAATATTATTTATATTTTATATTTGTGTTGTATTTGAATATATGAAAATTAATATAATAAAAGACATAATTATATCAATAATTAATTGGTCTAATGGGATGAGGTACTAGATTCTTTTAGCAAAGTCAGGCGTTGGAACCCTGGTATTTGCGAATGAAGTAAACTGGATTAGGAGAGTCGCTATCGCCTCTGCAGTACTCGATTTGAATTAATCGGTCAATGGATCAGATACTAGTGATTAATTAAAAAAAACATAATTGTAAATAACTTGTTGGTTTGTTATGTTGCTTAATCAGATAAAGCTGATTGGTTCGTACATATTTTGAAGCTTCAAAGGCAAACCTAGTGAATATAAACGTGTTTGGGGTATATTATTGCCAAAACATTCCAGCTTTGATTCCTTAGCTTGGAGCTGTTATTGCTTGAAGCCAGCTATTTCTATCACACGTGTCCCATTTAAATTGATCTGTTCTCCAAATCTAGCGTACCATTGTGTCACCGTCACAACATGCCCTTCTAATTATATTTTTTAATTTAAAGTCCCAACATTTATCCATATTTTTTTTTGTAGTTATGTAATACCACAATTTAATTTAAAATTAATTTAAGGTACGCATTAAATTATCTTGGTAATTAAAAAAATGATTACTATATTTAAAGGTCCTATATTCGAGTACAAAAGACTGCATTATATTTGAGTGCTTATTGTCAAATGATTGAGGGTTTTTAAAACAGAAACTACTACTTGTAAGCATATTAGATTAATAAAAAAAGATTAATTTAAGACAATTTTAACTTAAAATGTTATTTTGTTCAACCTAAAATATCATGTAAATTTATAATATTTTCGATTGCAATTTAAAAGTTACATTACGGGGGAGACTGCAGGATATTCGAGTTTTTATTGCCAAATGGTTGAGATATTTTAAAACAAATACTACCACTTGTAAGCACTTAGATTAATAAAAAAAGATTTTGTTCAACCTTAAATATTATGTAAATTTATAATATTTTTGATAGTAATTAAAAATTTACATCGCAGGGATTTGAGTCTTCAATTGAAAATATTATAAAAAATATAATATTTATGTAAAATGTTATTTTACAAACCTAAAAATTAAACTCTTGATAATATTTTCGGTTATAACTTAATTATATTTTTTAACCTTTTATTAACAAATTATAATTTAAAATTTCCACGGTATTTTAGATGAAATAAAAAAAGAAAAAAATGAAAATTTACAAGGGAGTGAGTCAGTTCCTCGTCGGGTGCAACTCGTGATAAACTCAGTTCCCGAGCTCGGTATCAACGTAGCGTATCAAAGCCGTCAGTTTCCAAGCAATAAACGTATTGCCACCTGTCCTGCACTATCGGATCCTTTTAGAAAACGACGCCGTTGCATCCAAACCCAATGGCAATTTCGTGAATTACAATACCTTAAGAATGAAAAATCTCCCAAATCTGTCAATGGAGGTTGACAAATTAAGATTAAGATAAATAAACGTTGGGGTTTTGGTTTTCTTTTAGATTAATCAATTTAAAAAATTCAGAATTGAAAATAAGTAATCGTTGGGGTTTTGGTTTTCTTTTAAATTAATCAAAAGCCAGAAATCAAACGGTTGTTTTGTTTTATTTAGTTGCTTTCAATTCATCTATCCATCCACTTCTTCAACTTCTTCCCTCACACATTTTTCCTTCTCTAATTTTCCCTGGAACCAAACAGAAATTTGGGATTTTTGTTCTGATATTCAATGACTTTTTATAATGATAATGATGAGGGAGGAGATGAGGTACCGGAGCTGAAGCTAAGAGTTGAGGGTGATGATGATGATGTTAACGCAAAAAGACAAACTCTGAGACAGCGATTATTAGAAGAAAGTGAATCAGAAGAGAATGATTCGTGGTTAAAGGATCTGGGTTTTTCTTTTCTATTGAGAAGGTCTATTTGGGAGTGGATCAAGTTGGGAATTTTGCTTATCATTGTAGGGTTACTGGCTGCTGTTTTCCTCAAATGGGTTGGCCCTTTTTTCATGGATAAGGTTAGTTCCTTTTTTTTTATCCCTGCTTTCATTTGTTTTTTAGTGTTTTTGATCTATGTGGATTGTTAGTTTTATCCTGGATTTCTTTCTTTTCTTCAAATTTTCTCTTAAGGATGAAAAGTAGTTGTTTTTTTTACTTGATTCTTGGCTTTTTTCCTGGTGGGTGTTAGTGATTGCATGATATTTAACTGTTGGTTGAAGATGTGTTTCTTTGTTCAATCTGTTTAGTGCAATGTCTTTTGACTTTTAGGGCTGATATGGGGTTTAGTGGTTGTTGTACATTTGTTGCTTATGATTTTATTCTTTGATGTATTCATCTTCTCTAATAAATAATCCTGTTTTCTATCCTTGTATGCTTTGGATGTTAATGCCGGTTTTTTCTTAAGATGGATGAACTCAAACCTTCTCCATTGGAGTAGCTTATGTTATTACTGACTCTAAGATTGCAGGACCATGCGGCTATCTTTCGAGTTGGAATTTTCAGTTTTCACTGCTTGCTGACAAAGAGCTGTATTGCTAGAATTGCACTTTCATGTTTGATTTCTTCTTTAACCTCGAAATGTCCCACCCTAGTGTTACTTTCTATGACAATAGTTTATGGTTTGAGACATTGAGAATAACTGAAATGTTTTTATTCCAAATCCGGTACCTGTTGATCAGCTGTCTATAACGGAATTAGGCACCTGTCGATCAGCTGTCTATAACGGAATTAGCACTAACTTTTACTTCCTAGGATACTTATCTTTAGTTGAATCACCGACCGTGGTATCTTTGATTTCGTTCATGTTTGAGATGCAGTGCCTAGGCAAAATTGTTGGTGTTTTTGACCGTTTTGTATTTCTCAATGTTTTTAAAACCGGACCGGACATTGAACCGGTGAAGGTACTGGATCACTGGTTCAACCGGATTCAACCGCTGTTGAATTGGATTTTATATAAAATAATATTTTTTTTCTTAATTTTACATAATATTCAAAGCAATATTAATATATATGTAACACTTTTTTTAAGTTTATAATATTAAAAGGTATAAAAATATCACAAGTCATAACATATATAAATTAAAAATCATAAAATCAAGTGAAACAAAATGATTCAAATCAACTACAACATAATATTTAAGGTAAAACATATTAAATATTAAATATAATTATATAACTATAATCAAAAAAATAAAATTGGGGCTTAAAAAAATCATAACAAATGATGTCATTTGGTTTAATTTTTTTTTATAAAAAAATCTCACATGACTAAGAAACATAGAAGAGCATCTCAAAAGTTTAAAGAGTAAAAATATGAGAACAAAACAATCCCACATGGCTAAGAAATATAGAAGAGCATCCCAACTTACTTCTATAAATAATGGAGGTAATTTGACATTCAAAATCATTGAGCCTTTTGGTGAGCACACATCAAACTATTCTTTTGCTTCAATTGAGCTCAAATTTTAGGCTTCAATCGAACTTCTAAATTTTTTTTGAGTTCGAGTCTTTTCGAGTTCAAGTTTTAATATTATATTTCGAGTTCGAGTTGAACTAGATAATTTTTAACTCGTGAGTTTTTGAGTCGAGTTAAGCTTACTTTTAAAGTTGTTGAGTTTGAGTCGAGTTCATCAATATTTGAATTTGACTTGGCTTGTTGAACAAACGACGTCGTTTGGTTTAATTTTTTTTAAAAGAAAAAAAGTGAACCGGCGGTTCAAACCGGTTTTGTCGGTTTTCAGCCGGTTTATCCCGTTTTACCGGTTTTCAGCCGGTTCATTGCCAGCCCGGTTTTGTGAGGTAATCGGACCGGACAGGCCACCGGTTCACGGTTTAACCGGTTGAACCGGTCGGTCCGGTCCGGTTTTGATAACCATGGTATTTCTTTTCTGTGATCTTTATGTAAACTTCGGTTAAAGTGATTATCTCCTTCCGCATACTAGTGGAGTTAGTTCATTTATCTCTTCTTAGGATATACACTTTCTAACTGGACTCAACTAATGACATTATGACTGCAGGAGCTAATGCCTTTAGTTAATTGGGAGATGGCAACCTTCAGTGCTCCAATGCTGGCAGTTGTAGTTTTCACTTCTGTGGCATTATTCCCGACAATACTTCTACCATCATCACCATCCATGTGGTTGGCTGGGATGGCATTTAGTTATGGTTTTGGATTTCTGCTAATCATATCCGCAGCTGCTGTGGGTGTATCAATACCATTCATTATCGGCTCACTTTTCCTTCACAGGATTCAAGTGCGTGTCGTACTCTAAGATTACTTTGTTCACCCTTTACTCAATTATCATTTCCGACCATAGGTGCTTGTGTAGGCCTGTGTGCTATATCACTGTGCTTTGCAATTTTAACATTTTCAGATTTTTTGCAGGGCTGGTTAGAAAAATACCCTAAGAAAGCTGCCTTTCTGAGAGCAGCCGGTGAAGGAAATCGATTTCATCAGTTCAAAGCTGTAACATTAATCAGGCTCTCTCCATTCCCATATATGATATATAATTACTGTGCAGTTGCAACACATGTTGAGTATGGGCCTTACATCTTGGGATCCTTGATAGGAATGGTGCCAGAAATTTTTGTTTCTATATACACGTAAGATCTCGGAGTCCCTCATGTACTCTCTTTTTCTAATATTTTGTTTTATCCCGAGCTTGTATTTCCATAACATAAGTGTTTATTTTGCCTGTGATCTTTGATCATCACAACTTTTGTGCATGTGCACAGGTCAGCACGTTTTAAACGTATGATATAATTCTCGACCATAACTGAATCAATAAGATATGCCTACATATATGATATACACAAAATGTATGAGCTATGTTTTTGGTTAGCTAACTTTTAGGTTGTTCTGCCATCCATTCTGTTCTGTATGCTTATCATAGACGTTGCTTAATGGCAACATGCAAAGTTAATAAGGTTAAACTTATTACTAATAGATTGATGATTGCAGTGGCACCCTCATACAAACCTTGGCAGACGCTTCGCAAGAGCGAAGTGGCCTATCAGCTGTACAGATTTTGTTGAATGTTGGTGGTTTCCTTGTAACGTTGGTGGCAACAATTGTTTTCACGGTTTACGCAAAACGTCAGCTAAGAAAATTGCAGATGGAAGAAGAATTGGTATAGGCGTAAGGTGTTGTTTTGGTTTTTACAGAAGAAGAAAAATAGTGTCATCTAGATCGAAGCTAGGCTGTCCGTTTCGTGTTGAATCGATACATGTTTATAGGGCTGGATGAAGTTTTTACTCATTGAACAGCTTCAGCCAATGAAGGTAAATACGCAACAGATTGTGGTCCTAGTTAAACATGAGTGAACACGAGGGGAACCAAGACAAATCTAACAATCTACACTGAGATTGCTTCTGTCCTACACAGAGATTGCTTCTGTACATAATTCAATGTCATTTTGTTGTTGACTTTCTGTATATTATATTTTACAAAATGGTGCTGTTGATGGTGCTCAACTATTCTTTAGTCTAAATTTTTGTATTTTATTCTTATGAACGTGCTCTCCTTTTGTTTCGAAAGGAAAAATATGTTAGGTACCTAATTGGGTCATTAAAGTAAAGTTAGAACCATAACCCGATTGATTCGACCTGAAATTTATACATCCTATCAGAACCTGACTCGATTTTTTGAGATAAAATTTGAATCTGACTTGACCCGAGCCGAAATAATATATTTATTAAAAAATATTTTTTTATTCAATAAAAATAGGGATTTAATTGAAAAAATAATATATATAATGATATTATTGTAATTATCTCTAAATATATAAAGTAAAATTATATTTTTTAATGGTCAGGTAAGGTATTTTTCACTCCAAATCCGATCCGAACTCAATTATTTTAAAAAAATTCGATCTGATAAAATCGAGTTAGAGCTCGTTGGGTTTGAGTCTCGTGTCCATCTCTATGTGGAGCATATATATGCCTTATAATCGCCTTGATTTATTTCTTATAAAAAATATAAGATAATTCTTAAATTTAAAGACAACAAACTATATAAGATCACAATTTGACTCATATAAGATATTGATTGCTAATGGCTTAATGATTAACACTAAATAAATCCCCCCCCCCCCAAAAAAAAACATTGAATTTTACTGATTAAGATCGATTATTGTCGGACTACATAATAAATAGATGAAGGGAGCAGGGTCAAAGGTTGGTATATGTTGTATAAAATATGTCTCTAAATGAGACGAGACAGATAATAAGTTGTTTGAGATTGATTTGGTTAAAGTTCGATAAATATTTAACTTAAGCTTGAGCTCGATTAGAGTTCTTAACGAGTTACTTAATACAACAACAAAAACAAAATCTTATTCCCATATGCAATGGGGTAAGGGGAGGTAGGGTAGTATGCTGCCCCCAACGCCAGGTTGAGAGCAGCTTCCATGGAAGGCCTCCGACAATCAGAAAATTAAAAATAAAAATAAAATACAATGCATAAATAAATAAATACATAGTTGAACAATCTTCATATGTAGTCTTCATATGCGAATTTGTAATAGGAAGTAATCCCTGCAAATAAATCCCTGCGTAAAAATCTCAGCATATAGACAGAAACGTAAGACCCGCCTAAATTTAAAAAGAGGAAATGTAAGACTCGCGATCAACTCGAAAAAATATATTAAAATTTAATCTTTTGAAAAATAAATTATTAATACTATTAACATTTATTGGTTGATATTTTTTATAAAAAATTTAGTCTAAGGTTTTCATATATTTAAGGTTCAAGTTTAGGTTTGAGCTTCAATCAAGTTAAATTTAAGATTCTTTTCTTTTCAAGCTTTATCGAGCTTTTACAAACTTTAATTCATGATTTCGAGTTTGAAAATTTTTTACTCGTGTATTTTTGAATCAAGTTGAACTCCATTTTAAAATTTTTAAATCAAGATAAACTCAACAACACTTGAACTCTGTTCAACTCGTTTACAACCATAGTACGAAAGCAAAAAAAAAAAATGAGCTTGTTGTCACATATGGTTGGGGGGAAATATTGAAAAAAGGAAACCAATGAAACCAAGTGACAGATGAAGCCAGCACATCATTCAATGCTTAAGTTATAGTATCAAATGATATCAATGCACAGCCAAAATTAGGCCAATATTGTTGATTCCAAAATTATTTAGGGTTATAGAATAGCCTTAAAATTAATTTGAGATTTGCGATAAATATTACGGTATTTATAGAATTTGTTATTGTCTCATGAGAGTTTCATGAAATGTTATTTTTTATTGGCTCCGATTATGTAGGCCCTGTAAGCAATATTATTTTAATATATTTAATAGACTTCGTCATGATTTCGTGAAAAGTTTCTTCGAGTAAATTGAAAAATATTTTTTAATTTTTTTAATTTTTAAAATTTAGAAAAGAGGTAGCTTTGAAAATATAAATGTTGTTTACTATTTGATCCTGATTATGTGTAACGGGAGGACTTTGCTTCGCAGTGTAATCGGTTGGTTGAAGAGATCGTGGTAAACTGACTATTAACCCCATGGTGTGGTTGTGACCCCCTATTGGTTGGATTAAAACTAACTCGGATGGCACTGTGCGAACGAATGATAGTATGGCTACGAAATTCAAAGGGTGATAGACGTGAACCGTGCCGCGAAAAGTTTGTTTATGTGCGTTTATTTATTAAATGAACGAACATGAGCAAGATTTTATGTTCGTTTAATTAAATGAACGAACACAAACATATGTCCCGTTCGTTCATTTACGTTCGTGGACGTTCGGTTATGTTCGTTCATTTATGTTTAACTCAATCTTCTTAAATCAATTTTGGTGACTAATTTGTAAGTATCTTAAAAATATTAATTAATCTAATATTCTGATGACCAACTCCATAATTAACCCAATTTTATTTAGAGATTAAATCCAATATGTTAACCTATAAGGCACCTCGCACCTATATTCATTTTCCTCTTTTTTTCCCAAACCCTAGTGTTCATTGGAGAGTATAGACGATCGGTGAAAGCTTCAAAATAAGTTATATTATAGTGCAATCTGAAGTTTTACAAATATGTTTTCATCTCTTTCTCTGTTTTATTTGACTTAATAATTGATATGTAAAGTTATTGTGGGTATCTTCACATCTAAAACTCAAGAAAATATCATATTTCTTTCTAGAAATAGATGGGAAGATAAAGGTAATAATCGGAAGTATATGAGTATCAGTAAAGAGAAAATATATAGAATTTGTAAAAAAAAAACAAAGATTTTTATGTAATTTCTAAAAAATAATGTAATAGCGGAAGTAATGAGCTTTTAAGGAAGAACCCATTAATAAGTAGAAAATACACTTTGACCACGAACTTTTGTTTTCATAGTTCTTGTATGATCTTTAGTTGTGGAGTAGACTTTAGGTACATTTAAATTTTGAATGGTGATTTAGCAATAATATCAGTTAGATATGTAGCATCGGAGAGATTTCAGATCTATGTTATTGCCTTGTAGTCCAATTTGTACCATTCGAAATCTTCATGCTATTAAATTTTCTACTCTGCCAATGGAAATGATCATTATTAACAAATCTCACTAAAGTCTGACATTGATGTCACAAAACTTTTAGCCGACGAATTTATTAGAATAACGTAGTGAAAATGATTGTTCATATGTAATCATGGACCACTAAAATAAATGTTATAGCGTTAAATTAAAGTCGCGTGAATCATTTAATATCTTTAAAAGATCGATCGAAATATCTGATATCTTCAAACATTTCATCGCTGCTAATCAGCTCTTACGCTATTTATCATTGTAGATTTGGTTGATTTGCATTGTCGAAATGGAAGGTAGGATATCCAACGTTTATGTTCATGTTCATTTATGTTCGTGTTCGTTTATGTTCGTGTTCGTTTATGTTCGTGTTCGTTTATGTTCGTGTTCGTTTATGATCGTTTATTTATTAAATGAACGAACATGAACAAACTATATTCCTTAATGAACGAACATGAACAAAAACATTTTTGTTCGTTTATATTCGTGTTCATTTATTTATTAAATGAACGAATATGAACATACCTCCGTTCGTGTGCGTTCGGTTCGTTTATAGGCCTATCTTCGGATTCACTCGGAGTTTGGGGAAATGTTCAGTCCTTGTTTTGGGGGAGGGGAATGATTACGTGCGACGATATTAATATACAATAAAAAAATATTATCGATTTTATTATTATTAAAATAATAAAATTAATAAAAAATTATCGAAAACATTATTATTTCTATCATTTTGTTATTATTTCTATCATTTGTTATTATTTGATGTTTTACCGATTTTGTTAAAAATATTGATATTTTAAATAGAAATAATAATATTTTAGATAATATTTTTATCTATTTATTAATTAAATAATAATAAAATCGATAATTTTTAATAGTATATTAAAAGTGTGTACTATAAAACTTTGTTGTGGAGCCCTGGGCTATCCATAACATTATTTTATGCTTAGGCTACCGACATGACGAGATGGAGACAGATAGTCTTGAAGCTATAAGAATTTGTAACAAGTTTTTTGATGCTGCAGCCAAAAGTGCCTTGGTTGCTACTATCTCGAATCTTTGAATTCATGACTGGGAGAGAAAATTTCTACACGTTCGTCGTAATCAAAATACTGTTGCAGATAAATTGGCAGCTTTGAGTCCATCGCCGAAGTTAAGTTTGTAGAGCATCCATTGGAAGAATAGTGCAGGGGCAAAAGAATTTTATTCTCTGGAAAGATTAATTACTTTTATCCTTTTATTTTGGATTAATTAAAAAAATTGTCTAAACTATACCTATTACTTATTTTAGGTGTTTAAGTTTTTTTTTTGTTAAGATAGGTATCTATTTTTTTTGTTATCATTTCAAGTGTCTAATATTTTCGTTTGGAATTTTATTTGTTTAATTTTTATTTATTGTTATTTTATTATTATTACATATTATATATAT